CCCCACCCCAACCCCAACCAACCCCAACCAACCCCTTTCTCTCCTTTCCTTCCCAAATTCTCCTTCTCTTTCACTCTGGACCAGCGTTGGTTGGCATCATCCGATCCATCCCTAGCGACGCCCAAAACAAACAAAGCGCGCTTACCTCCAAGGCAACAGCACCGTTTGGGATACGGAGTATTTAAGCCTGAACCAGACGCTCCAGACAACATCAGCAAACACGGATTCAGGCTTAGAAGGATATAATATTAATTATTATAGTTTTGGCTTTTGCCATCTGGACGTTACAGCTACTACATAGCAGGCAATCTCTACATACAGGCAGTTGTTTCTTCACAGGAAAGGGGAGATCTTCATGATGTTGTCCACTCAATTATTCCTGGCTGGCCTTATGGCGTGTGGTAAGATGCTGCATGAAATTTATCTTTTTGCTTTAGTAAGAGATTTATTTATGACACTTGCAACACAGTAAGGTAATATAAATGGCGACGATTAGAGGTGTTACAAGAGAGTAACAAACACAAAATAGACAGAGGAGATTTTAGGACGATAGATATTAATTGATAGGGAAGAAGGAGAAAATTTGTATCTCTTTACGGAGGTAACGGACAGAAAATTATTATTTTATGTCTGATAAGCAGCAGACGTAATGCAGTGTTGCGGTGTCGTGTCACATTTTAAACCACTGTACACAAATCAGGAACACGATTATTTGAAAATTTCAAAGTATGCAAGTTGTAGCCTAACATTTTAAGTTTCATTGAACAAAACATGGATTAAAAATCTGTATCAATAACGGTGATATGCTTCTATTTTCTAAAGTGTCTTAAAACATCTTGTCTTCATGGCTTGTCAAATGACCAGATTTCACGCCTCCTATGAGTTAAAAGACAAAGACTTAGGGCTTGTAATCTATAAAGTATTACAGAGATATGTCGTCCTTTTCCGGGATGTTTATATAGAGCTGCTGCCGTCCTGAACACAGCCTGTCTTTGACAAGTATATACACTGTACTTGGCAAAAGTACAACTAAAACAACAACAACAACCCCCCCCTCCCCCCAAAACCCCCAAATAAAAACAAACAAACAAAACAACAACAACAACAACAACAACAAACAAACTGAAATTCTGCTTCTTCAAAACAGCAGAACTATCTAATCTAAACAAGGTTCATTTTAGTCTTTGTCAATCATGAAAGTGAAAGCGGACGTCAGAACGTTATGTTCTCTACTGTTGCCCACAAGAGACATACGTTCCATTTCCGAAAGGGGATTTTTTTTCTTTATGTATCTTTTTTTTTTCGAGGATCTCCATCCGTCTGCTGGGATATTGTATCGCACTGAAGTAGGTTTAGCAAAATGTTATCACACTAAATGTGGTGCTTTTTCGGAAGGGGGGGGGG